TGGAAGCTTCCTTTGGGGCAGGTGGATATTTGTGAGGAAATGCCCACCACACTTGCATGCTTGGACAGTATGGGGGGATCCAAGCAGAGATGTCACAGGAGCAAGCAAGGCAAACTCACATTGCATTCAGAAGTGCTCATAATCTGGCCTATGAGGTGATCTGACCCAATGACAACAGCCCCACCTTTGTCATGGACAAGGATGCTTATGCCCTGAACAATGACTTCATTGGGGAATGCATGCAGGCCATTAACATGTATTCTGGAGATGCAAAGAAGAGGTCATATGGGGTGTGAGATGAGTACAGGATGAGTGGTGCTGCAGTGGAACAGGCAATACTGGTGGTGCCACAAAGGGTGATGCATTTCCAAGCTCAATCATGCTCATATCTGATGCTTCCATCTTTGCAGATGGAAGAGCTTTTAGCCTCCAATCCCATTCTCTGGATCCCAACCAAAGTCTGGTTGGAATTTATGGCTAGACGCATCAGGGCCCTCCATTGGCTCAGATCTCTCTCAAGGAACTGGAACCACCCAACCTTGGGATTCTGACTGGCATCATCTGCCACATGATTCAGTGCATGTCCACCACTGCAATAATCCTTCAACTTCCATGTGAGAGAGTCCATGGCCCTTCTGCAGGTCTCCAGGGTGTGTGAGCAGTTGGGAATGTTCTTCCTTTTGGACCTGGACTTGCATCATGTCCCCCATCTTCCAGAAGTTCAGGATCATGATGACCTGGAGGTGCTCAAGCTGATGGAGGGAAAGTTGAAGAGGGGTGACAGACGACCTGCCTGGCCAAGGATTCCCCCTCTGGACAAAGTGGAACAATTTCCCATTGGCAGCAGACTGACATGGGCCAAATTGACAAGGACCATCCAACTGCAGCCTTGGTTGATCATGCAGGACTGGAAGTGGTCAGCCCAACTGTCCAGTCTGGGGCCAGTGGTAGGGAAACTTTTTGTTCTGTTTACCTGTCAGCTTTGGAGCCAGTTGGATGTGACTTGGCTGACAGGTTCAGAGGGAAAACCAGAGCCAACATCTTTGGAAGATGCCATTCAGAGTTGGACTCTGAACCAGACCTTCAGGACAATATGTGCCTGTGAATTCAAGGCCTGCAATCCAGAAATAGCAGGGAGTGGAGGGGCTGGTCACTGACAGTCAAGCTTTGCAGAGAGGGTCAACCTGTTTTTCCCAGGACCCACAGTGGGACAACCTTCATGGAGGTCACCATGGAATGTCTTCTGGACAAAGCCTGGCTATATTTGGGAGTATCACCAGGTGATGAAGAACAGGACACCCCTGGAGGAGTTTGAGGTGCTGGACCACCTTGGCAGGATATTTTCTGTCCTTCAGACATTACCTGATGCGACCAAAGGGAGTGAAAAGAGTCCTGGGAAGACATGGCAGGTGGAGGGTGAGAAGGTGGTTCTGGTGACAAATCCCAAGTTCTACAAGATCGAGGGGATCTCCACTGAGAAGGAACAGCAACAGGCCAGGAGATGAGCATCTCAAGTGGTAAAGCCCAGGAATGCACTGCAGATGGAGCTCCTGGAGCATGCAGGATATGATGAACTGCTGGCTAGCAAGGCCCTCATCTTAGAAAGGCAGAGGCTGACAGAGGCACAGACTAAGAAGTCATCAAAGACAAAGAATGCTTGAAAGCCTCCAGCAAGAAGAGGCAAGGCCTTGCATAGGGTGGAGGGTTAGGGGACCACCTCATAGAGGGAAGCAGAGGGATGGGGGGGAAGGCAAGGATATGGGTACAGAGGGAGAAAGTGATGAATGCAATGTTGATATAGATTGTGGTTCCCATTCCTGTGGAACTGAAACCCAGTGTTGCCTAGTGTAGTCTGATCAGGTAGCAACATGTTTGGCATCTTGGGATGATACCTGGCCCCAAGGTGAACCCCCCTCTTCAGCTTCACTCCATCAAAACAATTCCAGATCAGTCCAGCTGTCCATACCATGTCTGTGCCACTTGAATGACATGGCAGGACCATTTGGATCACACCAGAAAGGACCCTATGTGTCATTCCCCTCCTCTTATCCTGGGGGTGCTAATCCTGTAAAGTTTAGGAAGCATGAAAGCTTGTCAGGAATGGTTGTCCTGGAGGGCCTGAAAGTCACAACAGATGATGACAATGGTTGCAGCATTCCTAGGTGTCAAAATATCCATGTAAGATATGTTACCCCCCCCTCCCCATGTTCACCCCATCAAAACAATTTCAGAGATCAATCTGGCTGTCTGAATCATGTCTACCCCATCTGTATGACATTACAAGACCATCAGAATTGCATCACAAAGGTCCCCATATTTGTTTCATTGACATACCTGATCCCCTCCTCATACCCCAGGGATGGCAATCCAGTAACATCAGGAGGGGGTGCCAGCTTGCCAGGGATGGATGTCCTGGGTGTTATCAATGCCACTGAAGACAATGGAAATGATTTCCAGCCTCCCAGAAGTATTTCCAAAGAGATACCACTTTGTGGTCTGACCATCCTTCTACCCCCTGTAGATTTTTTTTCTGACTGCCAATTTCATTCAAATTTCACCTGGGACATCCCAATGGACATATCTATCGACTCCCAGCATTATTTCCCCCAAATTATGGTCAGGAGTTTGTAATTATAATTCCCCCAGGGGCTGTATAATGTGCTGGACTCTGCACAGGGTCCAGGAAGTAGATTATTAGGTTGGCCAGGTTGAGTTTTGAACTGGTCATTCCCTATCTGGAATGATGTGAATACAGTCAAATTCCTCACCTCTGGCAACTTCCCCCTGCCAGTTTGGCCTGTCCCCTGCCATTGCAATGTGAACAGAAAATACTCTGTCACATGGCATCCATGACTGTGTGCTGTGGGTGGAAATCACCAGTTCCAGGTGATGTGGGTTTTTGGTAAGTTGTTCAATCTCATGAGGTGCAAAGATCAATGATGGATTGAACAGAGATGTGGGAGGATAGCTGATATCCATAGATGGTGGGTGATAGACATTCACTGACAGGGGATGATATGTGGTATTTATCATGCTAACATTGTAACAATCGATTCAAGTGTCAAGCTCTGGGGGAACATGGTGGCTGATGTCAAGACCATTGTGACTTCCTTCACCTTGGCCAGTCAATTCCAAGTATCCCTGTGATAGAATGTTCGTTAGTTAGTGAATTGGTGGGTCTATCAAAGCTTACCTTGTCTCTGAAAATTGGCCAATCCATGGTGGTGGGAGTGATGGAAGAGGGAAGAAACTGGATTGAGGCACACAAGATATTGTTTGATCATCATATATCAAATGGAGGGTAAATAGTACATTTGAGGCACTACATAGCCACATTTTTGAATGTGTGAATGGCAGAGCTACTGCAAGGCAATCAGCTAATGTTTGTAAATACAATGTGCAGGCCTCACCTTTCATTTCCAAGTCATCAGTTATGCACTATCTACTGGACCCATAAGGCCATCCTTGCTGTCATTCACACCTGACTCCACATATCTGTCACTGGCATCACAATCTGATGAGCCATTGAATTCACTTGACAAGTTGTGAACATGGCATTGCACTTCCTCTTCAAGTTGATTGAGCTGGGTGTTTGTAGTCTGAAACATCATAATATCCTCGTTGTACACCTCATGGCCAAAGGCTAGGAAGTCTCTGCATCATCTTACTCCGCTGCATGATCCAGATCCACATCACCTTGTCTATCCCCCAGATACTCCCCATACTTCTTACAGTTGGCTTGATAGATATATTTCATAAAATTGCTGTAGTGCTCAGCTTCCCTGAGCTCCCAGGCTGAGGACAGCACTCAATAGCGCCTAGTCTTGTGACCTGCATGTTTCATCAAGACTGCCTCTTTTATCACCATGTCTGGAAGGTCCTTGATACCATTGTGAAAAAGGAATTTCCCCTGTGATGCAATGAATTAGGATTCCATGATGTTAGAAAGAGCAAGGGAGTAATACATCTCCAGCATCATTTGGGTGAACAACTCCTGCTCCCCCTCTCAGAGACTTCCTCACAAAGTGGAGCTCCAAAGCCTCCCCAATGTCTGGCCCAGGATAAGGTGAAAACTTTATGCGAGCAATCTTTGCAGTCTGAGGACCCCTCCCTGTGGTTCTCTCTGGAGCCATAGTGGTGTTGGGAGTGTCCTTGGGGCCACCAGGCAATGATGCAGCAATGCTTGAGGGTGGGAGGGAGGAAAGCTGACTGCTGAGTGGGGCTGGATAAGTGCTGCATGAAAGAGGTGATGAGGGCTGAGTGCTACATGGGGAGGACCTGAGGGGTTTGCAAAAACTGGATCGCATTGATACAGGAGTTGTGGGGGGTTTGGCTTGAATCATAAGAGGCAGTACTTCCTCAATCTGTGGCTGGCTCTGGTGGGCAATTGCAGAGGTGCAAGTTGGTTGGAGTTTGAAGGACTTAGCAAAATTTCTACACTCATGAGCCACAGACTGGTCACAGAGTCTGTCTGTCTTCAAGTTACAATGGCAGAGACAGGATACATACCACCAGAACTGGCTCATATCTCAGAAGTTCCGAATCCTGGAAGGTTCATATCAACGATATTGACTCAGCTTCTACTTACAAGAGTTCTAGATATTGGTGTCCAAATGTAGCTTGTGAAGTGTTCTTCGAGACCCATGATATGTTGATCCAGCATATCATGACATGTTATCCACTCATTCCATTTCATTCCTCAATAGCACAAGATGCTCATCTAGCTTCATTTGGTTGATCTTCACACTCAAGGGCTAGGTACCATGAATGATCAGGGTATACTTTTGGGAATGAACCAAACACATTCAAGCAGTTTCACAATGGTCCTTTAAAGCAAGAGCAAGAGATCAATGTGTACCATCCATTTCAGTCTCGGGCAGAATGGTCTTTAGCCAAGTTTCTCATGGAGAACCTCACACAAACTCAGATCAAGAGATTCCTTGCCTTGCCCTGGGTACTACCAGTTTTACCTCAATAAAACCATATCTCACTTATTTTCCTTAGTTCCATGATAATCCCTGGCCATCCTTTACTTCAGTAGAAGAATTGCTTGGGTAGATGGATACCCTTCCATCAGGGCCAAAGTGGTGGAGTACCATTCTAGAAGTCAAAGGTTACAAAACAACTGATTCTATACAGCTGATTTGGCATGATGCAGAGGAGATCACAAGGTCCTTGTTTGGAAACCCTATCTTTGGTGCTGATATGATGTTTGACCCTATTCTGATCACCAATGCTCTTGGACAGGAGTATGGTGAATGGTTCTCAGCATGCAAAGCCCATTGCATCCAAGTATGTTCAGAGAGTGATACAACTTCACTATGGAAACTAACAATGGTCTTCTGTTAGGATTCCCTTCTGGAGGGTGCCACAATTGTACCTATTCTTGCTGCATCTGACAAGACTCCTGTGACAAGGATGACCAGAGGACTAGAAATGCATCCCCTCTTAATCAGTATTGGCAATATTCCAGGGAACATCCACATGGCAGCCACCTCACATTCATGGCAATGTGTTGCATTCATGCCAATACTGAAGTTTGATGTCCCTAAGGGAATCCAAACAATCCTGCAAACATGCATCTGGCACAAATGTGTTGATATCATCACCATGGGCCTGAAACATGTTGCAGAGATTGGAACCATGATGCCGGACCCCCATGGATACTGATGCTATTGTTTCACACCACTAGTGGCATGGACCACTGACCTCCCTGAATAGCTAATGATTGCATGCATCTCCAAAAGTGCTTCCCCTGTCATGGAAGCAACCCATAAGCAGTTTGGCAACAGTCACTCCCATTCATCTTGTACAGGCAATCTCACTCTCCAGCACATTGAACAAGTCACCCAGGGTACTCACCTGTGGAATAATCTTAGCCACTTTCAAAGAGAGGTGAAGACAATACAGCTTAGCAGTGTCCACCTTCCATTTTGGAGAAACTGGCCATTTGCAGACCCCTCCATCTTCCTTCTGCCTGAAATCCTTCATACATGCCACAAGTTTTTCTTCAACCATGTCCTCTCATGGTGTAGAGAGTTACTTGAGGATGACCTTGATGTGTGATTCAAGTGTCACCACAAACGTGTTGTGGTGAGGCACTTTGCAGGTAGTGTTTCACACATCAAGCAAATGACAGGCAGAGAACACCACGACATCCAGCATACCATTGTTCCCATGATTGCTGGTTGTGTACCTCCACAGTTCCTCTGTGCCATACATGCTATTATCAGTTTCATATACCAGGCACAGAGTCCCATACACACAGATGTTTCTGTGAAGGAAATGGAATCATCACTGCAGGAGTTCCATGTGCACAAGGATGCCATTATCAAGGTGAATGCCAGAAAGACAAGATCAGCTGGTACCAAAAATGACTTGCACATTCTGAAGTTGGAGCTTTTTCACAGCTTTGCAGCAGCAATTTGTAATAACAGTGGACTAATACAATATACTGCAGACATCAGCAAATGCCTTCTTATCACCCACTGCAAGTGTCCATTTGAATGTACTAATAAGAATAAAGACTTCGCAGAACAAGTTGTCTGATTACTCAATTGCAAAGAATCTATGTGGCAGTTTGATGTATACTCATTGATATGCTCAAGTAACATACCCCTCATCAATGCTGTTTCCATGGAAGAGGAAGAAATCACTGCAACAGATCCAACATTCACATGGGTAGGGTGTGTCCTACCTGAGGAGCAATGGCAACTCCATGGTCCCTGCCTGGTCTGCAATTACTTTGCTGATGGCATTCTCACCAATCATACTCAAACCACCCTCCATGTCACATCACATTCGGATAAAACTAATCTGTCACTGAACAACATCACTGAACAATATCAGCTCCCCTACTTTCAAGACCATTATTTAGAATTTCTTCAATTGCATTCCCTTGACCTCCAGTTTGACATTTGTACTTTTGATCATATTGCTGTGTGGCATAAGCTCCATGTTCAGCTGCACTCCATATTCTGTGATTCTATGATTCTTCCAAGTCAAGTTGTTTGGGCATTGCACCCCTCTCTGGATTTCCTGTATGGATGCTATGATGTTGTTTTAATCAGCCCCTCAAATGACAGTGTGTAGCTTTCACATGTGTGTTGATCTGTATTAATACATGTACCGCATACAGCTGCCAGTTATGTTGCACAAGTTCGCACTATTTTCCAGCCTTGTGCATGTCCACACTCCAAGGTTGAAACCCCTCTGTATCTCAACCATCCCCTTGTTTATCTACAGCCCTTCCATGTTATTGCCACCCTGCAGCAGCAACCTGAGGTGCAGATGTGGACCCTGGAAAGGTGCTTCTCCCATATGGAGGAAGGCAGAGAGATGCAAGAGGGACTGGTCATGCCCATTACTTGGATCTTGCATGTGCTAGAGCTTGTCCCCATTTTTGGCTCTGAAAAGGTGCCACCTACCATATCATCTGCTACATCACAAGAGCTTTACCACTGTTTTTTCCTCAATCACTTTGCAGACAAAAAGATATTCAACACATTCCATGGGGGGGGGCTCATTTTGCTAGTAATTCTGATGGGGTAGCATAGTAGGTACACTATGATGTATTAGAATCCTACAAACCATGATCAGTTTGACTGCATCTGGATAAGACCACTGTCATAATCATAGTAATTGTTATCACTAGTACCATTATCATGTTATGTAGACAATCTCTGTCCTCCAGATGGACTTTCGACCAATCAGATGCATTTCTCACATGAAATGTAAGTATCATAAATGATTAGGTGCTGGTAATCCAAGTGGCCCGCTTGTTCGAACTGCAGATGTAATTCAGGATGTAAAGGGTCTCTGAACCTAAATATAAACCTCCAACAACACATGTACTCCATGAGGTAAAACAAAGCCATATAACTCCAATGCTTACTGCATTCCATTGTCTGTTCATATGCACCAGTTGCTGACAGCACCTGCATTTGGACTACCTGTATGTTGTGCCAATGGTAATGACAAAGAGGGAGCTGATCCAGTAACAGACACAAGTTCAAAGAGGAAATGGAAGACAATGATGGGGTTAGTGTGAGTGGAACATGTGTGTCAGCAGCAGAAGCACACACCACCTAGATTGATGTGAGGTGAGTGGTGACTTGTTCTGTAGAAGCATCAGTGGTGGTGATACCCAAACAGATCCTCATAGAGATGCCCAAGTGACATGAACATAGGTCTGCCTCAGTGTGGGTATTGGAGAGGATGAACATGAACCATGATGCCTATGCCTGCATCAGGTCATTAAACCCTCATTTGATGGGGAGGCTGCATTGGTAATGGAAACACAGAAGTAGATGTCAATGTCAATGAGAATGTGCATCCCTGAGCACTCAAGACAGAGACAGATAATGTCTGACGAGCGATAGTGATGTGGACCTTGGCTAATGATTTGTTGATGATGCCAGACCTCTGGATGGTAAACAACACTCAGTCCAAACACTGTAAAGAAGTGCTCACTGAGACCATCAATACCAACCACCTCCAGCTCTTCCATGTAGTGAGGTGCAACACTTGCCATCCCTAACACCCGGCAGGTCAAATCCAAAAGGCCAACCCATTTCTTGCATGGTCTTGCACACACATTTGTTCCTCCTTTTCTTCGGCCTCGAATACCTCTAGAAACAACAAACTCGACTAGCATCCTCTTCATTAGAGCAACATACGCTGCAGCCCATTTCTCAGCATCCTCTCCAGCTAGCATATCTTAGCTCTGCAGTCTGCACTGCAAGCTGAGCTTTAGCTACTGTGATACGACTGCTGAGGGTGCTGAACAAGGAGAGATCCATTCTTAGCATGCCGTGGACCTGGCTGAGAGAAGTAGGTCTGGGTAAGTAATGGTTTTAGTGAGTGGCATGCCATGGTGGTGGTGGTGGTGGTCAGAGTGTCACTGGGTGAAAACAAGAAACTGTTACAGTTGCTTGTGGATACATGGGACTTGTTATCTTGGGTGGCTGTCTTGTATGGTATTCCCACCTCCCATCTCAAGTGTATTGAGGTATGACAATTGGCAGATACTACACATGTTAGTAAAAGTACTATGCTGGTGTACAAATGGGGACTCCAGAAGCAATATAATTCCCTCTGTCTCACTCATCCCTATGATTTTCACTGCCATATCTCATAATCTCATTTAGTAGTTCCTGCACGATGTCCCACACTGTCCCAGGCTTTCCATTGAATGGCATCCCAAGTATTGACACACCTATACTATCTGCCTGGTACTGCAGTTGTGTCATTGATGTATTGATCTTCTTGGCAGATAACATTGACCCCAAAGCAAAGTCAGAACAACATAAACAGCACTGGGAGCATGACCTTGGGGGCATGTATGTCAGAAAGCACTGAAATGCCTCGAGACCTCCAAATTTGGATCAAGTGGGTTCGATGCAATGTTATGCATGTACAAGATTCTGGCTCCTTTGGGCTGTATATAGCTGGCTCAATAGGTCGTCCCTTCTCTAAGCAATGAAGCCATAATATATATCTTACTTTGAATCTATCCACTTTTTCACAGTCTTCTCCCCATCTGGGTGTATGTATGTGTAAAAGGATGGCATGTCCACAAGGATTATGTCACCCTGCATTCCTTCAAAGTGGCATCTTTCTGCATAGACCTTTGTAGTGCAGGGCTTCTGGCCTCTGTTGACTGGAACATGAGTGTTTGCCATCTTCAACAGAATGCTCAAAAGCTAAGGTAGAATACAGGGGAACATAGGATGAGAGATAGCTTGAACTGGGATAAGAACTGATATTACCCAACTCTTCCCTGAGCCAGAAGGACCTACAATGCTACTTGCAACCTCAATATCACTGGGTCCTGAAGGTAGTATCAGTGTACTCACAACACTATGATATCCATTGGAAAAATGGTAGTCATCTTCCTAGACCAGTGAAATATATCTAACAAACCCATCTGCAGAATGAGAGCTGCTGGGACCCCATGTGAGGCGAGTGAAAGGTAAGCTAGCTGGGCAGCAGGATGTACTACAGTGGTAAGCTATGCTTAAATTGAGTGATCTTGTCCATGTATCCATACCTTGATTGATGCCTATTCCATCTACTTTGTAGAACCTGGTCCAGGGTCCAGGGGGTTTGGAACCCAGTCTGGGGTCTGGGGGGATCTGGGGAAAAAAAAAAAACAGACACTTCCAGGGACCCCCTGGAAACTGGGGAAAGGAGGTCACATGATGATAACTAGTGTAGTGTAGTGTCTGCTTTTTTGACTACCCAACAAGCATAGTGAAAATTCTTCCAAGTCTACCAAATACCCAGAAATGCACAATTGTGGCTTTCATGCATAGTACAAAGCCAATCACACAACTATTACCACAAGTTGGTAGTAGTATGGGAGGAGGAACCCTCAGATGTTGCACAGAGACAGAGGATTGGCCCCTGCATCAGAGTCATCTGGCCTTCTAGATGTCCCCAGTACCCCTGGGAGCATGGCCACAAGTATGGACTCACTGTCTTTGCCCCAGTGAGGGTGCCTCTGTTCTTTGTCAATGAACTCCCTCCAAGCTTTGATGGAGCTGTTGAGGGGAGGGGCATTTGACGGTAGCTCAGGGATACCCCTAGACTTCCCACAAGAGGGCTTTGCCCCTTTTTCCTTGCAAGGAGGTTGTGTCCTCATGGAGGACTGAGCTTGGGAGCTTGGCCTGGGCCTGTGTTCAGAGACCTGTTGAGTCTCATGTGGTCAATGAGAGTGGGGGTAGGAGTTGATCCTACATCAGGCACTGGAGTCAAGCCTGAAGGAGTGTCTGCTATCCACTCCTGCAGCACTGGAGCACCTTCAGAGGGGCCAGATGTAGGTGGGGGTATCCCCACAGTGGATGCTTGTTCCTCCTCCCCTTGGGGTTGGACTGCCTTCCCCCTTTCTTTGAGAGCCTCTCTCCTCTTGCAAGATTTCTTGGAAGACCATGCAGGGGGCTTCCATTCACTCAGTGCAAGGTTGATGATCTTGTTTGACCCCAACTTGCATCTTTTCCACAAGTTGAGGTAAGCTATAAGGTCCTGCACCTTTCAGATGCAGGGAGCCTTATCCTCTGGCTCCTTTAATGCTCTTGCATAGAGCTGGCAGATATCATCCACAGTGTTGAAGAGGGCAATGGGCCCCAGGATGCCTCCTTCAAATTGTACAGCCCAGCCATACAGTCTCTTGCCCACCAGGACTGGTGGGACAATGCACAACCTGAGGTTGCACTTCACACTGTCAATCTTTTCACCCTCATAGGTGTAGAGATTGTTGTTGATCCTCATGAAGAGGATTTTATTCTTACTGTCTGAGCCTTTGCCCAGACTATGCACATGATGGGGCCATTCTGTCCCATCAAACTCAGGGAACATTGTTCCCTGTGCAGGAACAGAGGGTGCACCCTCATCCAGGGTCATTTGGACATCACTAGGGATGTCTGGGAAGCCAACAGCATGGTCAATCATCATCACATCCTCCATGGGAGGATGGTGAGGCCATCCATGCTGCAACAAGGGTTGCTCCCTTGAAACATGAGAACCAGCAGGCTCCACTGGCACCCTCCCCCCCGAAACAATTGTCACAGTGGGGAGGGCCATCTGGGATGTTGAGGGACCAGCTCCAGGCTGGTTGAGGATGCAGTGGTTAGGGCCACCAAGGGATGCAACTCATGCATGTTTGAAATTGTGCACCTCCTGCTCAACCAATGTGGGAGCTGAGCATGTATGACAGAGTTTGTCGATCTTGTCTTGTAGGTGATGAATCTCATCATCATGGTCATTGAGGTCATCCTCAAGGTATGCAATGTGATGATGCATGTCATTGTATGGAGAATGGCAGACAATGTGTGCAGCTTCATCTGCAAGGTTGAATATTGCAGGCATGAGGCCTGCTTCAGAGAGGGCCATGCCCTGGGAGACATGCAATACATAAGCATTGCACATCATGCAACCAGAATCATGATGCCAGATAAATGGCAGCTGTGGGTGGCACATCCAGAAGGGCCCTTGAGGGCATTTGTCATGATGATCATCACACTCTTGAGACAAGGCATGTGATGATGTGATGGATGGGGAGTGAGCATGCTTCTGGCCACTGCTGACCATACATATGCTGCACTGAGCAGTGGGGGATGGCAAGCAAGGAGCCTTGCTATCAGGTCATGTGCCTTGACACACAGAGTTCACCATGATTGTGTGTGGCTGACTCCCTGCAAGAATGGTGCAGAGAGGGCTGGGGGGAGCATGAGCTCCAGGTGCTGTGACAGTTATCATGGGAAGACATGCTCAGTGGTTTGTTGTGTTGGATGGAGTTGGTGCTACAAGGTGATAGTGGTACAAGTGAGGAGAAAGCTTCTGAAGGGGTGTTTCCAAGTAGTGACAGACTAACAAGAGAAGATACTCAGGCTTCTATTGGGAGAAGACTGAGGTGCATCAACATGCCCACTCAACAGTGAATATCTCAATAAGTAACACCTAAGCTAATAGAAAAACAAGTGTGCTTATCTCTAGAGAGTCCTTTGGTCAAGACATCTGCCAGCTGCTCATTTGTAGGCAAGTACACCATGGAGATGTCCCCTGACTCAATCTTCTCTCAAATGAAGTGATGGTGAATGGAAATGTGTTTCATATGGTCATGAAACATCACATTTTTCACCAACAAAATTGCTGATTGATTGTTGACATGGAGAGGGGTGGGGTCAGCTCGCACAGCATGTCTATTTCACCAAGCAGTGTGTGGATCCAAATAGCTTCTTTTGTGGCTGCTGAAACAGCCATATACTCAGCTAAGTGCTTGAAAGAGCAACAGAGGTGTGCTTTTTCAATGACCAGCTCACTGTACCACCACATAGGATGAGAGCATAGCCAGTGATAGAATGTCAATCATTTACATCAGATGCCCAGTCTGCATCAGCATACCCAGCTGGAGTGGGTCCTGATGCCACAGAATAGCAGAGATGCAAGGTAGTGGTCCCTCAAAGGTAGCAGTAGACTCTTTTGAGGGCCACTCAGTGGCACTCACCTGGAGTCACTGCATGCCTACTAAGGATGCCCACTGCATAGGCAAGATCAGGGTGAGTAGCCAACATAGCATACATCAGGGCTCTGAGAGCACTCTGATAGCATGCAACATCTGACTTGGCCTGATCAAGTTTCTCAAGTTTGAGACTGGGTTCAATAGGTGTACCCACAGGGTGCATATCCTGCAACCCGAAGTGCCAGAGTATAGACTTGACATATCTCTGCTGTGAGAGCTTGATTTCTCCTTTATCACAGTCTTGGATGATCTCCATTCCTAAGATCCATCATGCCTCACCCAAATCTGATAGGTTATACTCCAAGGAGAGCTGAGTCTTGAGCTGGTCAATAGCATCATGATTCTTTGACAAGATGAGTTTATCATCCACATAGCCAGTGACTATAATCAGAACTCCACTTTCAAATTTGTAGAACAAACTGTGTTCTGCATCACTGCACACAAAGCCTAGGGCTTCAAAGACTTCCCTCAAGTGGGTATACCAAGCCTTTGGAGCTTGTTTTAGGCTGTAGAGAGCACAGTGAAGGCACCAAACTACATCTGCAGATGTATGGAACCTGGGAGGAGGTCAAAGGAAGACTTGTTTGTCCAGTTTTCTGTTCAGGAAGGCTGACTTGACACCCATTTGGTGTAACTCAAGGTCATACTTGGCTGCAAGAGTGAGCAAGGTTTGAATAGTAGTAAACTTTGCAACAGGGGCAAATGTATCAGTATAGTCCACTCCATGAACTTGAGTGAACCCCCTAGCAATGAGATGCACCTTGTACTTCTTGATGTCATCCATCAGTCCTTGCTTTACTTTGCATACCCATTTTGAATCAATGATCTTTCAATCTGAGGGCCATTCAACCTCCTCATACAGCCTGAGCTTCTGAAACATATTCAGCTCATCTACCATTGCTGCATACCAACAATCACCATCAGGGTGATTTACAGTGTCTTTGAACATTGTAGGCTTGTTGTCACATGCAGAACTTGCTTGGTAAGCTGTGTGGTCTTGTTGATTTGAGTCAGCACTTTTGCCTGACTGCCATACCTCAACCTTGCACTCAGCCACACCCCCACCATGAACCTCTGCCCTTCCATCATCTCTCTCAGTGTTCCCCTGGCCCTTTTCCCTTGTCAACATCAACCTCTGGTAAGCATTGACAAAATATCTTGGGTCATCATCTCAATCTGGAGCCTTTCTGGCCCTGGAGGATCTCCTGACCTCAGCAGGTGGTACTGGCTATGGATATGGCACTGGAGGACCTCTAGACATCATAGGATGTCTCATCATCATTTGATTCGCCCTTTGGAAGATTTCTGGGTGAGTTCTAGGCATTTCTACCCCATCTGCCTGACTTAGCTCATTTTCAGCCTCTGTGGGCTTGAGTGTTGATTGTCCTTCATTGTGACCCATCAAAGCACCTCCCTGGCTCCCTGTGGTGTCGGACTGCCATGCTGGACCTGTAGACTCAACTTGGGGTTGATCTGTCACTTCCCCCACCTCGTCTGAGCCTCCCTTGTCCTCCTGTGTGGTAAGTTGCACTTGCCCACCAGTTGTCTGCATGTTTGCAACTGACTGCACCATTTCCTTTGCTACCAGCTCACTCCAACCAAATGCAACATGAGTAGGCTGTTTACCATCACCCTCATCAAACACAACATCCTGAGACTCAACAATTCAACAGGCACACATAGGCCTTGCAATTTTCCATGAACCCAAGGTGGGTACATTCAAGTGATTTTGCATCAAGTTTCTGATGTTTTTCCTCTGGAACATGAACATGGGTGACATATCCATATCCAAAGACCTGCAAATGGGAGATGGTCAGTTTATTTCCAGTGTAGGCCTCATATGGAGTTACTTGCTGTTGGATAGCTCATGTAGGCAGTCAGTTCAGAATATGGGTTGCATGTAGTATAGCATCTCCCCAATACTTGTTGGGGAGTTCAGCATTGCTTAGCATGGCCCTCACACATTCAACCAAGGTATGGTTCATGTGCTCTGACACTCCATTTTCCTGAGGTGTGTATGCATTGGTTTTTTCATGATGCATGCCTTTTGACTTCAAGTAGGCATCAAACTCTCATGAGCAATACTTGCCTCCACCATCTGTCTGAAGGTAGTTTGCCTTCTCCCCAGTTTCAGCTTCAGCTCATGCAAAGTATTCTTTGGTCATTCTGAGCACCTTGTCCTTTGACTTCAGTAGTTTGACCACAAGATGGTGTGACCTCCCATCAATGAAAGTTACAAAGTACCTGTGTCCAGTACATGCAAGAGTTTCCATCAGACCACAGACATCTGAGTACATCCAATGCAGAACCTTTGGGTTCTCCATGTCTGACCTTTGTGGTATAGGATTCTGATGTTGCTTCCCTTTGAGACAACCCTTGCAACTATGGGTCTCATGACTGCAAGGTCCCACTATCTCCATCCCAGCAACCATATCCTTATCCAGCAATTTCAGTACATTCCTGATGTTCAAATGTCCAAGGCAGTGGTGCCAGGTGGTGAGAGATGCCTTCGATGTGACAACACAGCTCACAAGGGCTGTAAGTGGTTCTGACACATCAAGTCTTCCTGGGTTGCTGACTATATAAGCAGAGTGACTGCCTAAGACCACTGTTGTGTCCAGGACATACAATGACTTGCATTTCTCTGCAACTGCTGCAACCTTGTTTCCTGAAAGCACCTTGCAGACATTTCCTTCAAACATCACCTGGAGACCTCTAGATGTGAGGGATGGAACTGACTCCAGATTTGTGTCCAAGGCCAGAACATAGTAGATGACCTGTAGAATAGTTTGTCCACCCCCACTACCAGTCCCCTGCATGTTGAGTTTGATCTGGCCCTTCCCTACTGCCATGATGGATCTCCCATCACCAATAATGACTGGTTGTGATGGTTCCAAGACCCTAAATGTGGTGAACCACCACCACTGGCAGCACACATGTGCTGATGCACCCAAGTCTACCACCCACTCTGAGGGGCTGGTTTCTGGACCTGCACATGCCACAAACAGCCAAAGAGCTAGATCCTCAACTACCTGGGTGACCTTCACTGTGAGATTGGCCTTGTCTGCTCCCTTCTCTTTCTTCTCCAATGAGGATGGAGTCTTCTCTTCATCTGCCTTCTTTTTCAGGCTTGGGCAGTTGTTCTTCATATGCCCAACCTCCTTGCAGTTGTAGCACTTTATCTTTGACTTTTCCTTCCCTTTCCCTTTAGACTTTGACTTCACACCAGTTCTGGCTGTGAGGGCTGAGTGACCCTGTGAGCCCTGGCATGTCCTCTCCTCTATGAGGACTTGCAAGATTACAGAGTCCACAGTCAACTTGTTATTTGTTGACATGAGAATGGTTCAAAGGACTGAGTATGAAGCAGGTAAGGAGATCACCATCGCAATTGCAACCAGTGACTCATTGAGAGTCTGTCCAAGCAAGTTCAGTATGAGTGCCTTCTGTCACATTGCATTTAGCTGAGTCTCCATTGGGCTATCATCAACAAGGGTTCCACAAAAAAGTTCTCCAATGAGGTAGGCAATTGTCTGTTTCCCTTTGCCCTCATACCATTCACTAAGGCACTTCCAGGTCTCTGACACAGTTTTTGCATACATGACCCCACTCAGAGGCTCATCCTTGAGTGTCAGGGTAATCTGCACACTGGCTTCCCTATCTTTCATCATCCACTCCACATGCTTGTCTGGGTGAGTGGCAGCATCAGGAGCCTTTGTGGCTGAGCCACCAACCACCTCCCACAGGCCTTGAATCTCAAGGACCTTCTGTACACAAAACTTCCACATTTGAAAGTTTCCTCCATCATCTGCAAGCAATGGAATATCATAGAGCTGACTCAAGGGAGCAGCAACCTTGCTAGATGATGACAGAGTAATGACTGTAGTAGTAGAAGGACCCATCTGAGGACCAACCAAGATAGATGGAGTTGGATTTGACATTGTTTAGCACAACCTTGTAGAACTAGAGTGTGAGTGGAATTAAAACTGCAGTGGTTAGAGCTGAGCAGGGCTCATAACCTTCTGAAGGGGTGTTTCTGAGTAGTGACAGACTAACAAGAGAAGATACTCAGGCTTCTATTGGGAGAGGACTTAGGTACAACTAACCTAACAAGAGAAGATACTAAATAGCTTCAGTAAGATAGCTGTAACTCATAATAAAGGAACCTCACCTCAGGCTTCTACTGGGAGAAGACTGAGGTGCATGAAGGAAAAACAATGTGCTAAAATGACTGTGCTTATGTAAGATGTTACTGGTGTAAGAAATATAATTAATGTGCATCAACAAATGGAAGGTGTGCTGTTCACACCTTCAAAGTGTACCATAACCATCTTAGATACCCACTAATGCCTATCTTTCCTGGTACAGTTTATTGTTGAGGAGAGGCAAAAGTACCCAGATGACAACTCATTTTGGCACAACTTCAAGACTAACAAGGGAGAGTGACTATGTTACCAGCAAATTCTCAATAAGATTGCCACCCAGCACCTAACAGCAGCTGCAGACATCAGGAAATTAACACTTTACTATTTTTGACCTTTTTGTGACTTTTTTTGACTTTTTTGTGACTATTGTGACTATTTGTGACTTTTTGGGAAGGAACCTACTATCTGTACTTTTTTTTTGACCATATACAGCATTTTGAAGAATGAAAAGAGAACAGAATCTATTGAGACAACTGAGTGATGATATATCTAAGCCAAGAAGACTAGAAAATGTCTGAAAATTCAGAGATATTGAGCCATTGGTGTGATGCACACTGTCTGAGAGAAAAATCACAATATCTCTTTGGAACCTCCATCAATTTGAATGTATGTGGTATCTACTGAAAGCTATGAATTAGGTGGTTTGAACAAGACCAAAATAAGAAAGAACAGTGCAGCCATGCCTGCAGGACATGGGTAATGATAGTAGATTCCTTCCCAAAAAGTCACATTAGTCACAAAAAGTCAAAAATAGTAAAGTGTTATTTTCCTGATGGAAGATGCCACCAATGCCTGACTTTTCTTCAGTGGCAACCTTGACCGTTGTTCAGCAGATGGCACATTTAGATATTGTTGGTCCGGAAAGTCTCATCTACTCACAAAGCACAACACCATCTCAAAAGTCTGGCACAAGTTGCTTGCGACATGGCCTGATATTGCAGATCAGTGGGGTGCATTGTGTGCTGTGTGCTCTCTCACTCTTCAACCATCAGAGTGACCGATTTGGTTCCCCCTCCCCCTTCCTTCAATTTCGTTCCCTTGCCACTCTCGCCAACACATCTGGTGGGACAGTCCTCTATGAATTTACTCCATTCATTTTCATTAAATAACTCAAGCACCTTCCCAGTTCCCACTGTACGAGACGTACATACATCTTCTAGTTCCTCCATCTCGCTAATCTTTCATACTGTATAAGCCGTGTTAGCATCAGCAGTTGTACTACTCATACTAAGCCCCAGTCCCTTCATAGACTGCGATATAATATAGTCCATTATAATGTCGACTGCGTGCTGAATGTTATGAGAGAGACTTGGTACATAATATGGCAGCCATACCCACTGCACATACCCCTGACTGAGACAGTTGGGTTTGGGACGAAGGCATTCAAGTCAGCCGTTTCAACTGGTTAGTAGTCACACCGTAAGCTGTACACTTGCACCCACCATCACGCGTCGTCTATTTCTCCCGAGCGGAAGGGAACATGGGCGCAGCCAAACACACCGGTGCCACGTTCGTTGGCCGAGATGGTTGGATTTGAGGCTTTGAGCGCAGGGCTTTCAGGTCAGACCGCACTTTTTCGCTGACGGACCTGTAGTTACTCGTTACAGCAGGGAAATCCCCACGCACGCCTATATTCACCATTGTTGCAGGCCACCCTTTTCTGCCGAGCGCAAACACAGCGAGGGCGCGCAAAGCCTGTGGGGGGGCACGGACGGGTGTCAGATGTCCATGCTAGGTGGGGGTATACCGGCGTATGTGTCCAATCGTGTGCCGGCGGCAGCGTGGGAATGTTGGGACTGTAGTCTGGGACTGTAGCTTATTCACACCAATCTCGTTTCCGCTGGGCCAAATTTGCCGTTGAATGTATGACATAAGCATCATTTTGCTCACCGTGGTGTCCACTCTTGTTCTCAACTTCCATCGACCATGTCCGACGATTTCAGCCTCTGCTGCTGGGTACGAGGTACCTCCGTCGATGCCACCTTCATTATCAAGATTTCACTGACAGAAACTGTCGATACGCTCAGAAATCTTGTAAAAGCAACTCGACAACTCGACGATGTTCCGGCCTCAGATCTCCGGCTGTTCAAGCTCAAGGATCCCCTGCGAAGACCCTATAAGGAGACTCTCAATGGTGTCACCCTCTCGACGGACGGGGAACTCTTGGATCCTTCGGATGAGATATCAGAGGTGTTCGCGGCACCACCACCAAAGCGCCACATCCATATCATAGTGGGTACGTAGCAGCTGCGATCCAGGCTTTCCCTGGTCATTCATCCCTGATTTACAGATGTACCATACCCGAATATCTACTACTATTTTCGAGGTGCAGATGCATCGGAGGAAGGAATGGTTCGAATCCAATCGCATGAAGACGTCATGACATTTAAACAACAGATCCAAGATCGTCATAGTAATCTCAGTGATTTGCCCTCTGCTTGCATAAAGCTCTTCAGGATCTCGGAGGACGATGTCCAGGAGAGTCTTGATCAGATGGACGGTGGTACGGCTCTCACCGGGAGACAGAAGATATTCGAATGCTTCGCGGATAGTCCAGTTCTCGAGAATTATTGCGTTGTTGTCCAGCTTTCTTCCCCTGAGTGTAAGTAGCTCTATGGCCTCTTCGAGTTATATTGAACTCAATCTTTGATAGCGATAAATAAACGTCGTGCGGTGGCTAGGCGCCCAGTTATGGATGCAAGGGGCCCCATTAACGAAGGGGATTTGATTATGGTGGCGCGGAACAACTTCCTGAGAGACCGTCCCAAAAAATCGCCATCGAGCAGTGGTCAACCATCGTCGTTTCATAACCTACAAGGAAACTTGAATACCCGGATACCCTGCGGTCGTCCTCGCAATGACGAAGAAACCATTCCTGCAACGCTTTTACATCCAGTCTTCGGCCAGTTCCTTGATGGCTGTCAGACTGAGGAGGTGAAAGCAGAAGATAATGAATTCATTCAGAAGCTGGCAAATGTGATGTCGGACCTTCATAAAGACGAATCAGTGCGAATAAAGGAGGTTAACAAGGTGCTTGAAACTTACGGACTCAACTTTAACCTGGGCGTCAAAGTCAAGGGAACCGACTATGTGATGGATGGTGAAATGAGCACTAACGACTATCGATACGTGATTGCCGAATTCAAGAACGAGACAGCAGCCGCAGCTTCGGAGCCTTATATGCAGGCTGTCACATACTATCTGGAGTCAACCAGCCAGCAGGCGCTTCAGACAACCGGATCTGCTTTACCTTGTTTTCTCTTCCTACTTTTTGGTCAGTATTCAGGCTTGACGACTGTAACATTGACATCTAACCACTTTTCCCCCCAGGACCGTACATTGTCTTCGCCGGTGCTGTGTGGAATTTACGTCCTATAGTGCAGGTTCTTTCGACCCCACTGGCGTTGCACTATCATTCCACCGATACCGACAGTCAGATCAACGCGGCTCGCCACATGGCTGCATTCCGGAACGCCGTTCGATCACTGGGGGAATACTATGAAGGTCCCCAACCTGGGCCTGCTACCACCCCCATGTTGTTCCCATATCGCACGTATTTCACATCTCTCGACGGCTCTGAGAAAAAGCAAATATTCCGTTATAAGCAACAGGGAAAGGACGAGCGGAAGCTTGTCTTTTTCGGAGCCCTAATCGAGGAGTCAGGCTCTGAAGTTCCGATCTGTATTAAATTCGTCCGGCGTTATTCACGCGAGGCTCATGAGCACTGTGCAAAATTAGGTTTCGCGCCGACCTTGCGAGGATGCGAAACGATCCCTGGTGGGTGGTTTATGGTGGTCATGGACGACCTTCAAGGCTACGATACATTGGACGACGTGCCCAATCTCCCGGAATCGGTTTTCAGCGAAATCGAGAGTAAGCTGGCCACGCTGCATGCAGCGGGCTTCGCTCATGGCGATATCCGTGATACGAACATCATGGTGAAGCGGGAAGACAGGACGACGTTCATGATCATCGACTTCGATTGGGCCGGGAAAATCAATGTGGTGAAATACCCACCGTATGTGAATTTTGTGGACATCAAGAGGCCAGGCAGTGCGCGCGATGGGATGCCCATTCTGAAAGCTGATGATGAATGGATGCTGAAACAAATCATTAGTCAGAGGAGCAAGTAGGCTTACCCTGGGTCTGACATGAGATGTAAAACCATGTAGGAAGTATACTATACCCTTTTCTGTAATTGTGGTTTGCATTCTAGTAAGGTTGTGGTAAGAAATCTGGTAAGAAATCTAGGAGCCATAGTTAGCAATGACCACTGACTACCAATGACCAACTACTAAATAGCAAAAAAAATAGGCAACTGGTTGCTTATTTGGATGAAAGATGACTAGTGAGTTGATTAGCAAAGAAGTAGAGTATTGATGACCACCTACTGACTGAGTTCAATGATATGACTAGCAAAAAATAAGCAACTGGTTGCTTATCTGGACCCAGGATGACTAGGACATGATTAGCTGATTAGCAAAAAAGCAGACATAGTGATGACCAATGACTGCCAATGACTGACTACCAACTACCAACTACCAAATACCAACTACTGACAACAGACATGGACATGGTGAATGTGAGTAGCAAAAATAAGCAACTGGTTGCTTGTCTGGCCCAGACTCCACTTGCAACCTGCACAGCTGCTGAGAGTAGAGAAAATAAGTGACTGGTTGCTTATCTGGATGCAAGGGAAGTGAAGTAGCAAGAAGGCAGCTGACTGCTGAGTGCCTAGTGACAACTAGGAAGAACCAGCTGATTATCTGGACAAGTAAGACAGACACGACAGCAGAGATGTGAGTATCATGCATACTAGAGGGTTTTTGTAATGGTGGTTAGGGTCAACATAAGGTTGGGGTAAGAAATCTGGGATTCTAAGGGAATATTTCTATAATGTGAGCCATACAAAGAAGGGTTTTCAGTAGGAGAGTGGTAATACATATGTCTAATGAAGCCAAAGCTGATTATGAGAGCAAGGAAATGCAGAGCAGCCACTGAAACAACTGTAACATTGAACATGCATAATGGTATATGGATGGAGAATGTGGATAAACATGGACAGTGCTACTGATAATATAAATGATATTGTATATTATGATAAATGACACAAATGTTGAAGTGAACTGTTTGCATGATATGATGAACTTCATAGAGAGCTACCATGAATAGCCTAATATAGTGATATTATGGATGATATTGCACAAACATTGAACCTCAGTATTTGCATGATTGGTAGTTAATTAATTATATGACACAACCAGCACTATGGTGTGGGACATGAACTGTATATATAGAGTCTTGAACACTGATGGAATTTGAATTAAATCTACAGATGTGAACAGTCTGGTTTTAATCAAACAACAGATCAACACGTGACAAATAGGTTCTGATCATAAGATGTGATGGAGGACAAAGAATGAATATATATGTGATCACACAATGTAAATTCCATGAAGAAGTATTGACATGTAAACACTGACAACACATGCACATACAGGATGGACAGAGGTATGATAATATGCTGAATGTGGGGAACTGATTCAGCAGGACCACCCAATGACATCTAATCTAGGATATTTGAAATGATAGATCATCTGTCATGATTGATGAAATGAAGTGGATAAGGGGAGGCTGAATATGTCACAGATGGAAGAGATAAAAGCATTGACTGACCAGTTTGATTTTAAACTGATACCAGGATGATGACAGTGCTTGAGATGATATGCCACCTAAGCAATCAGCACAAGGTTGGAGCAGGAAGGAAGGGGTGGGGAAGGTGAGTTTCGAATGTCAGAGTGGAAGTATGATACTCACAAGATGAGGCTGATGAACAGAAGACTATGCTTGGGGAGACTCTCCTCATGGGTGGGGGAGGAAGATCACAGAAGGTGATGCTTGATGATAAGGCACAAGCTCACCAAGAGCTTGAGAAGGGGGCGAAGCAAGCAATCATTGGGATTACAAGGTTTGATCTGATCAAGAACATGGATTGACTTATGTTTGGGATCTGGAATTCCCAACAGGTTGTTCAGGTGCAGGTAATGAATCTTATGAATTCGTTTTTGCAGAATGGATTGGATCAATTCAATGCAGCACACATGATACCACTGGTGATTGACAAGCAATGGATGAAGAAGGATTCATACACAACAGGGAGCCCTATGGACCTCAACATTGAACAGATACCACTCCTTGAAATTGATGAGACTATTGCTACCAAAAATTGGAGCATCCCTGCTGCTGGTGGCCAGCACTGTATGTGTGCGCTTAAAGCCTGGCATGAGAAGAAGAAGACACAATTGAATGAGCTGGAGTTGTTGATCAAACAATTGAAGAAGCAGGATATGGAGGAGGCAACTGAGGAAGATATTGGGGAACTCAACAAATATATCAAGGAGATGGATGGCATCAAGGGTCTTTTGGGATATGGAGGACAGTGGCTGGTTATGATATACAGTAAAGGTGAGGTTACTTGATCTATCAGTCTTGATGGGTGTAATCCTGCAAATGTTGACTGCCCAGATCTGCGTGAATATACAGTGATTCAATAGCAACACCCTTGTTGTTGTCAGATCACATGCACATATATGCAGATCCAGATGCTCTTGAACATCTGCATGGTTATGGCCAGGTATCATCTTCTATCCACATGCTCCCTATCAGCACAAACATTGATATTCAATGTTTGTGCATTATGGTCTATTCCATGCATACTGATGGATCACACAGGGGACATCGATGAAAAACTGGGCCTCTTCATCTTGCAAAATGAATGCAAGCACACATATGTCGAAGCACCAGCAGAGGGCCTCATCCAGTGATTCAAAGAGGCCCTTGTATTGGGTCACAAGTGGTACAATATCCCTCATGCTGGTGTCAATGCTGGTCCCATAGGCAAGCAGATGGAGCTCCTCTCCCAAGACTATGTATTCAAGTTGATGTTGTTCATGAACTCAGCATCTATGCATTACATCCATTCCCTGATATTCGACCTCAATAAATTGCATGCAATGATGATGAGCCCAGGGGGAGGGGTAAGTGCAAGGACATGGCATCGCAAATCATGCTGACTATACTACATCGATAGATCATTGCTTATGTGATGTCCACCCTCAAAGAGAAGCTTGCTCTGTGTTTCAACACTGTCAAATTCACCATTGCAGAATTCACAGATCTCGACAAGAAGGCGAGCAAGTGTGCTGTGTCTTCTGAGAAAGAACAAGCCCATGACCATCTCCAGTCCATACTTGACACCTTGAGGAGGGCCTTGCCTCTGCACCAGGCAATTGTACCACAAGTCTGGGATGTCATTGATGCAGTCTTCACAGGCCATCTTTTTGCTGACTCAGAGACTGTGGGTTATCTCTGTCAAACCCATTCATTCATATACCAGTCTGCATTCAATTGATACTGCCACGCTCTCATCATCACACTTGAAGAGGAGATCACACAGATAGATGAGGATATATCATTATATGAGGATGATGTGAAGAAGGCGATTCAGATGTCCCCAGCAAAGATAAGTCTGCTCCTCAGTGAATGGTGTTCAGATGAACCATTATACCTCTTCCCCCTCCCATCCTATCGTCTCATCAAGGCCATGAACAACCACCTTCTCAGGATTAATGGTGCATTGCTTGAAGTGAGTCATCCAATCATATCCATGCTACCTCCTAACCATGCACACAGTGTGCATCATGGTGGTTACTGTTCATCCACCATGACAAGGTCCATCCACAGGACTGGTCTCCTGGATCTGCAAGTGCAGACATGGTTAGGGCAGTGTTGGCACACAGGTCACCGAAGATGGATGGGTGTGTTTCAGCCATCAATGAGGTATGCCTGCCAAAATTCTATTGATGTGCAATCACATTCATTACATGAAAGATTGTTGCTATGATCTTCTTGCAATATGCTACATTCTTGCAGATGGAAGACTCTCTCACATACAAAGGGCTGTTCCACCATCAGCTTACCCAGAACAAATTACTCTTGATCTTCTGTCAACTCAAGCAGGACAATGACAAGGACTCGCATCCCAAGGGTAAAGGAAAGGCGAAGGTGAAGGCAGAGGACAATGAGGGAGATGAAGATGGAGGACAGGAGGACAGGCAAGTTGGAGATGATGGCGATGATGACAAGGGTTCTGGTAGAGACATGTCTGAGGCATGTGATGGAGGTGAGCCAGAAAATGCTGATGGGAAGATCACAAGAGAGCAGTGGGTGGACAGGAGAGCTCATGCGAAGGAGGAGGCAGCTGCCCACCATCAACTTCTTGCGAAGGAGGCTGAGACTGCCATCATGTATCTCAGTGCTGTGGAGAAGCCTCTGAAGATCACTCCGAAGGATTTTGGCATCCCCACTGACCATCTGTCCAAACTCCCTTCCCATGCACCAAAGAATATATTTCATGGTCAGGAATTCATCATACATCATACCTACAAGTGGGCAAACCAGCTCCCCAACTCCAAGAAATGATTCATGTGGCAACTCGCATGCCTTGCCATCTATGAACATGCCATTGTCCACTCATATTGTCCTCAGCTTCTCTTTGACATTGCATCAGGTGCACTACTTCTATGATGAATGACGGAGGACTGCATGGAGGAGTTTCTCATTGCCCCAGAGTTGCCTCACCACCTCTCTTGCTAAATCTGCTGCCTCATGCACACCTGCCCCTTGCCTTGTTTGGCCCAACAGCCTCTCCATCGACTGTGATGGCCTCACATTCCTGGAGTTCTCTGTTGAACACCAGCTCAACAAGATTCACATCAAAGAATTGAAGATGTGACAGGAGACTGAACTCCAATGCATCATCAATACCATCCAGAACATGTCAATTTCATGGCATGATCTAACTGGCAATGTGAAGGTATGCAAGCATCTGAAACTCAAACCGGACATCTCGAAGGCAATGTTGGGTCTGGTACAGGTGCATCTGCAATTTTATTCATGGGTCATACACAGTCCTGACATATATTCATCAAGTGCCTCAATCTCAATGCACTGGAGCAGAGACAACAATGATGTCCCAATGTAGGACATGATCTCAGCAATGTGACCACTCGACTCAGATTCTCCTTCTACAATGGCACAACCCATCCAGTGCATCTGACTTGAACCCGCAACCAAGAGACATCACATCCCTCATCTGTACTCAAGCATCACAGCAAATCGAGCTGGACAAGTTGATGGATTTGTTTCACTGAAATTGCAAAGGGCCTGTTGCTGATCTTGATTGCATGGATACTGAAGGTGAGCAATCATCCGTTGACATTTACTGCTCATCACGCTCATTGCATCCAACTAGTAACATGCCACAAGTCCACAACCATGCTTAAACATGATGAGAACATGTCAGGATGTGGTATGAAGAATTCTTGCAATGTGATGGATCCCAAGGAGGGTGGTGAGTGTTTGATCACTGGAGAATCAGAGGTGAATGGTGATACAGGGGAAGGTGAGTCACTTGTCATCTGTTCTCCCATATTGTGCAAACATTTGCCATCCATGTTTGCACATTCTGTGGCAAATCAAACACAGATCATGGCTTGGAATCATGAGAGCAACTGCGACACCGTGATGTTACATTGTCCATTTTCATGCAATTGTTGAGGGTCTGTGTTTTCATCATTTCATTCTGCTCTCACACCACAGCACCATTGTGGTTAGGCTATGATTTTCTGTTCCTTTCCCTAACCCCCCCCACTCATTCTGATGCATATCTCATCAGATTCATCAGACTCCATTGGGTCTGATGCCAGGCCATCCTTATCCTCACAGCAGACAATGCCTGTCGATGACACCCACACACCCCTATCCTTCTGATCCAAGAAGGATGCCCCATCCTACTGGTCAGGACTGCCTTTTCAGGAAAGAAATTTACACAGGTCCTTCCTAAGTCCTGACCACCCCCATCGCTGGCCTTGAGCCTTCCCAGACAGTTCACACAGACACCTCTCATATGGGAAGCTGGTCATGGACCACCCAGTCATGACCCACAAATCACTGGCCTAGAACGTTCACAAATGGTTCACATGGATACCTCTTATAATAGGAAGATGGTCCAGTGATCTCTGAAAGGCTATCTAACCCTGTCCCCAAGGTCCAGGATGACCAGGAAACAATTGGTGGACATGGTAGTGAGTGCAGCGATTGCTGAAAGGCAAGATGTGACTGGTCAGGACTAGTCCTGACCAGGCACTTCTGCTCCCTATGCCCACCCCCATGGTCTAGGATGACCAGGAAACCACTGGTGGACATGATTGCCTCTTGTTTCATGTTTAGTGCACAGACTCAGTACCACCAGGAAAAACTGATATGTATACAGACATGGTCCCTAGTGAAGGGGACAAGCAAAATGATTCATGTGAAGGTGGTGGTCATATCAGAAGGATTAGTGAAATGAGCTTCTGTTAGGGGGAGTGCTGTAGAAACATGTGAAGTGTGAGGATCTTTCCCAATTTTGGAAGGTAGGATCATGTGGCTGACCACTATAAGCAAGTGAGGGAATGGAGTTGGTATCTTTGGAAATGAGGGAGATAAGTCAAAAACTGCAATGCTTTACACAGGTGCTAAGAATTTTTATGGGCACTTAACTCACTTGCTTCTCTTTTCTTTGGCATTGACAACCATTCTTGTGTGAAGGATGACCACAAACATTTCTGGCTGTCTTCCCATGCATTAAGGCTCTAGTCTTTCATCTCCATTCATCAGCAACATCCATGTCCACATTACCAAACACCTCTGGTGTGTGACACTGGATGGGTTGTTTATACAGCCAAGGTGTTGTCTTTGCCTTGTTCTTGCCTGGAGCATTGTCCTGACTCATTTCCATTCACCAGCTGGCTGTGGTGTACTGTCTGCATCCATTCTGAGGCTTCCAAAGATAAATTTAAATTTTTGAGTTCCATCAAGTAGCATACCATATGGCATGTGTACATCCACTGCCTCAGCTCTAGTTTTCATTTCACATACACCAGGCTTGGCTTCCTCCATCAGTGAGCTCTGTGGTGCACCCTGCACAGGTTCACATTTGTTTGCATGGGCATTCAGCTCAACTGGCATGTCATGGACCTGTGGGTGTGTGCCCTAGCTAGCAATGATGCTACTGCTTGTGTTGTCTCTCTCCCCCTTGAGTGGTGCACTGTGCAACCCTGTCCATCTTGCCTTTGCCTCTATGACTAGGCTAATGCAACCACATTGCTGACACTTCATAGATTCCATGTGTGTGGCCCCAAAGTTGGGTGCTGGCTGTCCTGTCTCAAATGAGGCATACACTCTGCTAGTGCTTTCAGTACTTCATGATTCCAGTAGGTCTTTTTTGTCTATGTCTATTAACCAATCTGACAACTACTCATCACTGTTGTCTCCTGCATGTATGAACCATACAGTATCTGGTTCAACATTGCTTGCCTCATTGCAGGAGTCCCTTGCTAAATTGGCCTTCTCACTTGACTTCTCCTTTCCCTTTGCTTTTGAGTTGCTTTTCTCCCCTATTACTTTGGAAGCCTTTGATTTCTCTTTGTTTGCCATGCAATTATGAGCCATGTTGCCATACTTGTTGCAATTGTAGCAGTTTCCATTAAACTTCCTTTGCCTTGAGTCTCCAGAAGTGACCTATGCAGCATCTTTGCTGCTTTCATTCAAGGGTTTTCATGCACCCAAATCTGGACTGTTGTACACATCCAGTATGTGTCAATAAGTACCTCAGAGGTTATTGTCATGCTGGTGATCTTTGCAAGTGCCATGACTGCACCAATCTGTGCCTGGTACAAGTGCAGGAAAGTGTCAAGTCCAAGGGGTCTGGGTTGAGACCAGACTGGAGACTGAAGGGGGGGCACAAGGCTGAAGGGCCAGGAACAGGTGGAGAGCAGAGGTACAAAGGTGGACTAGTTGGACTTAGCAACTGGAGACACAGTGCTATTCCCTTGTGTGGGTTGTAGTCCAAGTCCAAGGCCAATTCAGAAGTCACCAAGCACATCACAGCTCTAGCAAAGGAGCACAATCTCCCCAAGCTCAGAGGACACAGTTTGAGGATAGGCAGCACTCTACACTATCTAATACAAGGCACCCCATTCAATGTAGTCAAGACAATTGGTTGATGGGCAGGAGACTCTTTCACACTATACCTACATCAGCACACAATGATACTAGCACCATATCTAAATGACAGACCAACCCTTCTGGAACATTTCACAAGGTACATGATACCTCTGGTGTGCTGACTCAAAACTCTTTCCCAACCAGTGAGTAGCCACCTCCTTACCTCAGGGCTCAGAGCATTTGGTGTTAGTGTCACTGGCTCCTAATTAGAGGGACACAGCTCACTCTTCACCCTCAGATCCAGTGTCTCCTCTGGGCCAGAAAACCCTTTGGGTTTTTGCCCATTCCCCTTAGCCATCATCACACACCCCTCTCACTCCTTTCCCACTGAATCCATACATTGGCACATGCTTTCCTCCTCTCATTACTAGCAAAGCATCATAGTACATGGATTGACTTCAAACTGAGGGGATACAGGCCAAGTATCTACAGGTTTATATACTGGAAGTAACTATAGTATGGAGACCAGTAATGCCAGTCTCACAAAGATTGCTAAGGTGATTGGTAAGAACAGTATTAGTAATGTATGACAAAGATGACTGGAGACCAGGACAGAGAACAAGGGCAGATTGGGCTCAACTGAAATGACATGCACTGCAAAGCAGTGTTAACTGTGCTAGACCATTTGGAGGTAGGTGTTTGACAAGACTGAGGCTGGACTGGATGAGTGCAAGGCTGAGTCTGGCTGGGGTCAAGACATGGTTATGACAGTATCCCCCTCTTGGGGGTCAAACCCATGAGACCCCTGCAGGAGAGGTAGGCTGAGTCTGAAACTTGGCTGAGTTTGAAAAAACTGATACTTGTGGCCTGCTAAGCCCTTTGCGTCTTTCTTTCACATCCTATCCATCATGTCCAAATCAAGGCTGATCACTGCAACTGGCAACAATGACAAAGGCTGGGTCATCATCAACTGGACCCAGGTGTCAGATGATGCCATTCAATATGATACTGATGATGAGGAGGAGGTAATGAAGGCCAAGTTGAAGGAAAGAAAATGATGAAAGGCAGCTGAACAAGCCCAGTGGGAGGAGCAGGCATGGCTGGAGGCTGAGAGAGCAGAGAGGGAGAAGGCTGAGGCTGAGCAAGCAGCAAGGGAGGCCAAGGAGAATGAGGTACATGAAGAGGAGGAGAGGTGAGAGGCCAAGCATAAATGCAAGGCCAAGGCTGGGAAGGGTGATGAGGCTGGTGCTGGGGCTGCTAGTAGCAAGGCCAGGGGTGAAGTTAAGAAGGTAGTGATGGACCCCAGGTGAGTTTTTTTCTTACTCCCTTCACCTCTTTCATCTGAAAACCTCTAGCTGTACTCATTGCATGCAGGCAAAGGTCATCTGTGAGTTCCTTGTAGACAGCAACAAGAAACAGGTTGCCTGCATCCA